GGGAAAATCAGTCATTAAGATTCAACGTTAACCCAACGCACGAGGATGTCAAATCATTTTACAAAATTATTCATGGAATACGAAAAGTAAATAATATAACACATTTGATTGGCAAAGAACTTTACGGACCTCAGAAGGAGAAGATTCGTCGGCTTTCGGAGGTTGTAGAAGAGGAAATGCGGCGGTTTCGGTTGCAGCTTTAATCGGCCGCAATCTGCTTTTAGGGGAAGTGGACGGATAGTTACTGAATCTTGGTGAGGAGAAAGACCGGAAATCCTTCACCTGCATCCATAATAGAGAGAAAGAAAACAAAAAATGAAGAAGCGAACAAGGAGAAAGGTTTGTTGACATAGCGAGAACGGAAGAAAGGACCTGCGGGCAGGAGATGAAGCGATGAGTGGGCTGATGGAAGGAGATAGAATTCGCCATTAGAGGTACCGATCAACAGCAGAGCAGCGCAAAAGGTTGCTGTATGTTTTGCAGAAGAACGTTATCCACTTCAGCTCCCCGCCTCCGCGTTCCCTCCCATTTTTTAAGAACAGCACAGGCTGATGCTTCACTAGTCATTTTTTTTTTTTTTTTTAAAGAAAGGAGTTTTATTTGTATATAAATAAAATGTTTTAAATTGTCAAAAATTATCAAAGTCCTCTCTCTTTTTTTCTTTATATATATAAAAAATAGTTTTGATATAATAAGTTAATTAGATATTTAGAACGTTTGTGTTTGAATATGAAGTAATATGAAGTGTAGTTTTGATCAAACAAGTTAATTAGATATTTGAAACGTTCGTGCGTATACTTTCAATTAAAAAAAGAACGAGTATGAAGTGGAGAGAAGATTCAAACCTTTGACGATTAAAGAACCTAATTTTATAATATGCTTAAGTCCAAGATGATAACACTAAATCATGAGATCTCACATTGGTTGAAGAAGAGAACGATGCTCAAACTCAAGATGATGACACTAAACCATGAGATCTCACATTAAGTGAGGAGGAAAACGAAACATTTCTTATAAGGGTGTGAAAATCTCTCCCTAGTAGACGCGTTTTAAAATCGTGAGGCTTACGATAATATATAATAGGCCAAAATGAGCAATATCTAGTAACGGTAGACTTGAACAATTAGAAGAGAAAAAAAAAGTTCATTATGTTACATTATGACCTCAATTTCTATGGCAGTTTCTTCCAGTTAATAGCATTTGATATGAAGTTGATGTTCATTCAAGCCTTCTGCTGCTCTGAAGATTTCTGAAGACTATAGGAAGTGTCAATGGCTTTCTTGTCCCTGCGAATTGAAGACACCAATAGCCACCAACATTTCTCTTACTTCTCCAACAAAGGAACCTGAAACTACAAGATTTTGAACTCTCCGATTAACTTCCCGCTATATAACAAAACAAACTATGATCTAAAAGCTTAAGTTGATAGGTTAAAGAACGCTATCCTTCGTTCAATGACAGTACAGATGTTCGAACAAAAAAACTTCCTCAGATATCATGTTAAATTTACTAATACCCATCAGCTTAAGAATCTTGTTCATGTGGGGAAAGCTAACGGGTAAACATGAACAATCCTTTAATATGTTGTTAAAGCTTTGAGCTTTCCATTATGTGCATCAATATAAGTTTTAAAAACGTGTCTACTAAGGAGAGCTTTCCACACCCTTGTAAGACTCATTTCTAACCGACGTGGGGTCTCACAATCCCCACCCTCTTTGGGGCACAGCGTCCTTGCTAGCACAACCCTCGGTGTCTAGCAAGGGGTTTTATGAGGGTGTGGAAACCTCTCCTTAGTAGTAGACTCCCTAGTAGACACGTTTTAAAAATCTTGAAGGGAAGTCCAAAAGGGAAAGCCTAAAGAGAAAATATCTGCAAGCGGTGGGTTTAGGTCATTACAAATGGTATCAGAGTCAGACATACATCGGGCGGTGTGCCAGTGAGGACGAAACATTCTTTATAAGGGTGTGGAAATCTCTCTCTAGCAGACGCGTTTCAAAAACCTTGAACGAAAGCTCGAAATGGAAAGTTTAAAGATGACAACACCTACCGGCGGTGGACTTGAATTGCGACACATTTCTAAGTTAAATGTATCATAGATGTCACAACACAAACTAATGCACTGGTTCAGGCAGATAGACAAGCAAGAAGAATGATGTGGTTTAGAAGCTTGGAATGAACTAAAAAACACAATAAAGAACCATGCGAATCAAGCATCCAGTTTATTCTCAATATCATCAAATTTCGAGGTAGTGATAACATAATTGAGTCACAGAGAGCAAATGGCTTACCAGAAGATCTTCTCTATTCAATCCAATTGTTGATGATACCGTCCAACAATTCCGACACCCTTCTCAGATGGTCACTGGTATTCCGATCGCCAATGGAATTCAAAGTCTCACTCAACTCTGTTGCTTCGCCGATCATCGCTTCTCTCAGCAAACACCTAAAAACCCAACTCCTCAGATCGTAATCCGGAACCAAATTCGAGTCAATCATGTTCTTCAGAATCTTCAAAGCATCAAGTACCATACCCTTCCTACACAGTCCCGCGATTAGGGTTTTATAAACCCTCTCATCCGGCTTACATGGCGACCCTGGTCTTAGCATCCAATGGAAAATCTTCAAGGCCTCCTTCAATTTCCGCTGCTTAGAATAAGATAAAATAAGCATGGTGATAATAGGGCTTGAATAGAGCAGCGCATTCCGGTGGTGCTTGAGACGGGTGAGGAGGGACATCGTGAGGGCGAAATCGGATTGGGAAGCAAGGGAATGGGAAAGAATCGAGAGAGGAAGCGATTGAAGTGAAAGATTCGTGAGGAGCGCCGTGTCCAGAAGTGTTATTGCAGTGGAGTGGTGGTTGTAGAAACAGAGACGAGGAAGAAGGAGGCTGATCTTTGTAAGCTCGTCTTGGGTAAGAGTCGTATTGATTTTACTGGCTGCGGAATCATAAACGGAGGAGGAGGAGGAAAAAAACGAAAATGGAGTACCAATGGCCGGAATTTGATCGTGAACGAGCTGCGGTGGAAGTGGAAGACGGTGGAGGGGAAGAAGCCGTTGCGTTATTGTCTTCATTTCCTCTCTGGAAATTGTTTGCTCCGGCGAACGCTACTGATTCCTGCAAATTCTCATTCGGTGTAGAGAGTCGAATTAGTGAACAAAAGGCCCATTTATTTGGGCGTTGTAGCGTCATGGTCCACTTAGTCTGAGGCCCATCGGTCTGGTTTCCCCGTTGCGCTGTCATTGTAAAGCCTGTTTTGCATCGCTCCGCACGTTGCCCTTCCAATGTGGTGTGGCCTTCGATGTATTCGTAATCGAGAAGAATAGAATCATCCTATGTTAGGAATCAAAGTTTATAAGCCTCATCAGCCTTATGGAGCTCTCGAATAGCCTCCTCCCCTTAATCGAGACTCGACTTCTTCGAGGACCTTCGATATTTGGGGATTCTATTCTTTGTTCGATATTTGGGGGCTCTGATACCATGTTAGGAATCACGACTTTTCACAATGGTATGATATTATCCACTTTGAGCATGAGCTCTCATGGTTTAACTTTGGACTTCTCCAAAATGCCTCATATCTATGGGGATAGTATTCCCCACTTATAAATCCATGATCTTCCACTAAATTAACCAACGTGGGACACACTCCCCATAATCCTCAACATCGCAACCCTGCAATTAATACCAACGTGGGACATACTCCCAATAATCCTTAACATCGCAACCCTCGAAGAATGATATTTTTTGAAGTCAAGTATTTTCAATAGATTAGTCTTATTTATTAATAATAATTTTTTATTTTATTTTATTTTATTTGTTTCTTGATAGTTCCCATGAACACCATTACAAAAAAATATGAGAAAGGAAAATCAATATTAAAATAATGAATTAACATAATAAATATATAAACAAAATTAACATTGTGGAGAGTGGTTTGAATAATTGAGCCACCAGCTTATCCTGAAATTAATGATTCCATCCTCAAACGTTGATAATTAATTGCAATGGACAAATTATTATTAATTTACAGTCTTTGTCCTACTCTGTTTGGACAAGGCATATATATATTTTTAATGTAAATCGCTTAATTAAGTTAATTAAGATAATTAATTTGTTTGGTTTAGCTACCTGCTTTGACCTTCAATTCCATTTAAATGTCAAGCAGACAAGTGATTCAGGTTACCATATTGCTTTGCTTATAACTTCAAAAGGAAATTCCATCGTTAAGTTACCTTGTAGTCTTTAAAATTGTAGAGTTGACAACAATATGTAACGAGCTAAAACGGACAATATTGACTAATGCTGTCCTTGAATTGTTATAAATGATATCAGGGTTAGGCACACTAGACGGTGTGTCGCGCGAAGACGCTGGTCCCCAATGAAGTAGATTGTGAGATCTCAGATCATTTGGAGAAGAGAACAAAACATATTTTATAAAAGTGTGGAAACCTTTATTGAACAGAAGCGTTTTAAAACCGTGAAGCTGACCGTAATATGTATCTAGCTAAAACATTATTACAAATATGTAACTTATCTCACTAAATTATCTACCACATACGGCTAAAACTCCATTGAGATGACATAAAAATTTCGACATTTAGATTTTGCTAGATTTTTTGAAAAGGGTAGCCATAGATAATTAAAAAATATTTTATAATTCAGAATAAAATGAACACACTTTACGAAACGAATTTTTTGTTTTTTTTAATGAGAATTTGTTCATCCTCTAAAAAAAAAAATCTATCTTTCCAAAATGCATTGTGTTTTTGTCTTTTGTTCGATTTTATTGACAATAATAACCGTGTATTTTTTCTCTTATTACATAACTCGTAGGTTTGGATGAGCGTAAATTTTTAAAAGAACCAAGAAAAAGAATAAAGCACCAATTAACAATAATTACTTTTTACTTTTTAGGAAAATTAACAATACGTAACTTTTCTAAGTTGACAAGAGAATATTAATTCACAACCACCCTTATCTACAAGCACTAGTTATTTATTATTTTTGATGAAGCTAATAATCTTACCCTTTGGCTCAGAGTCCTACGGAGTGCTCCTTGGGTTCTGCACAACATCAATGGCTACGATTAAAAGCTAGCTACAATGGAATTTTACGTGTCATTCACTGATAAACATGCCATTCACAATATTGTTATAATTATCTCACTTAATTCACAATAAACACAAATTTGATCCATAAACCCCCCCCCCCCCCCCCCCCCCCCCCCCCCCCCCCCCCCCCCCCCCCCCCCCCCCCCCCCCCCCCCCCCCCCCCCCCCCCCCCCCCCCCCCCCCCCCCCCCCCCCCCCCCCCCCCCCCCCCCCC